GGGCTGAGCCTGGGAACTGGCGGGGGCGGGAGGGGCTCCCTGAGCCTGCGGCGCCGTGCGGCAGGGAGGGGGAAGTGCCTCTGTCCTGCGGCCCTTTTGTTAGGCTGCAGCCGCCTCTTGAGCCCTTCCCTTGTCCCCAAGCTGCCTCGTTCGCAGCCTGCTGGCGACACGTAAAGGTGCCAGGGCAGGCTTGGAAAGTGTATTGCTCAAGCGCGGACAGTGCCACAGAAGAGTAGGAGGTAGCACTTACCTGCTTACGAAACAGGGGGACTTCCTCCGGAGGAAACATCCTTCATGTTCTCCGCCAGCGAGAAGCATGCTAAGCTCCAATCCTGCTTTCTCAGCCACCCATTGTTTTGTGGAACATGGTGGAGCTAGTAGAAGAGGTTATGGGAGCAAAATCTTACTGTTCATGTACTAAGCCTTTTCTCTTCAGAGCAAGTTACCTACATGATGAGCTGAGCTCTGGCTTTTATTTTAAAGGCCACATACATGGCAGACATTAAGTTATCTCTGTCTTTGGTTCCTGACCATGTGTAAGCTGAGGCAAATGGGGTTTTTGAGCGGTTCTGTAGTTAAATAGGCCTTGATTAATTGCGTTATGATTTGGTGCATCTGTTCACATTGCAATTTTTAGGTTGCATTTCCTGTTAAATTTGAAGATACAATACTGTATGCCTGTTCCTACTAAATGTTGCAATAATAAAAATCTTAATTTTTAAAGTAAACCAAAACAGTTGCTAAGTAAATGTAGCATCAGACTGTAGAATGCGTTTTTATTTAACCTGTAAGAAAAAGGAGTCTCTCGGACAAGAATTTAGATTTTAGACCTTATATTTGGCCAGAAAAGAGATGATTGTGGTCACATAAATCGGGCTTTCTGGGGATGTCTTTGCCTTGCTTAATGGCGCTGATCTGTATGTCATGAAGTGTTTCCCATAAATGAAGGAATAAACTGACTTCAGAAATGTATATTTAAGCTTTGAGGGAGTCTGTTTTATAACACATCACATTACCTGAGTTTAACTAATAGACCTTATATTGCTGAAGGAAAGAACTGTTCTGAGCACAATCAATAACACTAATATGAACTTTTTTATTTGTCCTAGGTTTTTTTCCCCCCACCCTATCAATTTATTATTCTTTTGAAGATTCTTCGTTGTCAAGCCGCCAAAGTGGAGAGTGCGATTGCAGAAGGGGGTGCTTCTCGTTTCAGGTAGGTTTCATTCTCTTGATGTCTGACTGTAAAGTACACTCAAAAGCAAAAAAGTCTGGAAGTATGTATGTGAAAATATGCTTTGAGAATTCTAACCTGCTTTCATATGCTACATGACAAGACTGTTAATTTTTGTTTGCATAGGATGTATAGCTAAACTTCAGTACACATTATTTGGAAGCTAGTCATAAGCTATAGAGTGTTTTTTTTGTAAAGTATTGAATGAGGCTATTTTCTTTGAAACAGTGCTTCTTCAGGCGGAGGAGGTAGTAGGGGTGCACCTCAGCACTATCCCAAGACTGCCAGCAACAGGTATGTCATGTTATCACATAAGGCGTCTACATGCATACGAAAAAGAAGTCGGTAGATTTGAAATCAATTGCTAAGGCAACCCCATGATAACATTTTATTAAAAACTGACAAATATAATTCTGGCTTTGTATACTAGAGATGAAGTCGTTTATCTTCTATCTTCTTTGACTGGCCAGCTGTAAACAAGTTGGCAACTGCCAGTTCTGATATAAGATTACATTTAACTGAAGTATGTGCAGTTAAGGGATATGGAGAGGAGTTGCCGGGGATGCTAGAGCTACATTTTGCAAAAGAAGTCTGAGTCTCCATAGACACCAAGTTCATAGCCTAGATTCAAAGCTTATGCTTCTTAATGGCAAAATTTAAGCAGTGATTTTAATTTTTTGATAAATATAGCGAGTTCCTGGGGAAAACCCCAGGGCAAAACGCTCAGAAATGGATTCCTTCACGAAGCACTAGACGAGATGACGACTCCGCAAATGACAAAGAACGACATGATGCAATCTTCAGGAAAGTAAGAGGGTAAGTTGGCCTGTTCTTAAGGTTAATATCAATTGGCGGAGGGCAGTACTGAGAATTACCTCATTTTCCTATATGAACGCTTAATACCAGCAGTTTTCAACTTGTGATATGTGGACCCCTGGCCTTCTGCAGACTACATTAAAGATTTCCCAAGAGAGTCACACTCCAAACAAATTTTAGGAGTCTGCAATTGAAAGTTTGAAAACTGTCTTGCTTAAAACAGAAATATATGACCGCTAATGGAAGACACAGAGGGGAAAATAAATGTGCTTAAATTTATAAGCTGGCTAGATATGGAATACAGCTATTTAGGGATAAGAGATTGGTGGAGCATGAGTAGTGGAAAATGTGAGTTCTTTCTCTTAAACTCCTATACGATTTAAGAGCTCTGTCTTCTTTGCCACTGCGTGTTTCTTTTTGTACTCTAAAGTCTTCCATAGTTGAGAGTGCGCGCCCCATAGACAGAGTAAATTGTCCTTGTATAAAGTGATCTTACACCCAACTCTCATAATATTGTATGGACTGTGAACTCTACAATTGTTACTGATAACTTTTTTTTTCCCCCTGTAGCATACTAAATAAACTTACTCCTGAAAAGTTTGACAAGCTATGCCTTGAGCTCCTCAATGTGGGTGTAGAGTCTAAGCTCATCCTAAAAGGGATCATACTGCTGGTATGTTAAGTTTATCTTAAGTACATATGAATTTAGTATTTGGTTTAAAAAAAATAAATCTTGTACTAAAACCTACAAGCTTTTGTGTAAGGGGTGATGAACTTTGTACCTTTTTAACCAACATAAAGATAGCCTTGGAACTTGTTACACTTAGGTTGCCAAGTTAATAGTGTAGCTTTTTGGAAGTGTTACTAGTGGTAGTTACACTATGCTCTGGTACTCACCTTGGTGCTTTAGTTTATATAAATGACTTAAGTTTAGCTAATTTATTTAAAAAAAAAAAAGCAGGGCTAGCAAAGACTGAGATTAATGCACAGACCCCACTGTCTCATTGATGCTGTAGATAAATAAAAGCTGTATAAGTAGTTGTCTGAGCTGTCTAAAATCCCATAGCAATTTTACCAAGGCTTTAAAAATTCTGCAGTTGGAGGGTGTGAGGGTATATTTTTACTTACCCAAAAAAAGCACAGATGAGTGTGGGGGGTTTGTTTGGGTGTAAGGCTGTAAAAAGTTAGGAAATACCAGCAGTTCAACTGGAACAGTGGTCACATAAGAGGCTAGCTGTATGACTGGGTACTTTGTCCCAAATAAAAGTCTAAAAATACCCTGTTAGTGAATGCCTCCCAACAGGACATGACTTAATCCTGATTGAGTACCTTTTTTTTTTTTTTTTTTTTTTTTAAAGATCGTAGACAAAGCCCTTGAAGAGCCAAAGTATAGCTCCCTGTATGCTCAGCTATGTCTGCGGCTGGCAGAAGATGCACCCAACTTTGATGGCCCATCAGCAGAGTGTCATCCAGGACAGAAGCAAAGCACAGTGAGTGTCTTACTCCTTGGTCTCACTGAAAATGTTAAACTTTTTGCTTGTGTGGATAACTTGCACTGATCTTAAACCCAATTATATCTTGTTTGTAGACATTCAGACGCCTCCTAATTTCTAAACTTCAAGATGAATTTGAAAACCGCACCAGAAATGTTGATAGTAAGGATTAAAACTACTTACATTAAAAGTGCAAAGTCTTAGTTTTATGGTAGTACAGTACTGTTGACACATTTTCTCTTGTGTTCAGTCTATGATAAGCGCGATGGTCCCCTCCTCCCGGAGGAGGAGGAACAGAGAGCCATTGCCAAGATCAAGATGCTGGGGAACATCAAATTCATTGGAGAACTTGGCAAGCTTGATCTTATTCATGAATCTATCCTTCATAAGTGCATCAAAACAGTAAGTATCTTAATGAATTGGTGTACCAACTCAGTGAAATAGTCCTTTATTGCTAACATTCAAGTGCAAAATAATTACCCCTCCCCCCCCAATATGGGGGTGTGTGTGTGTGTGTGTGTGTGTAAGTTTACTATGATATTGTGAAAAAATGAGGCTTTAATTTCATGCATGTGTTCTACAGGGTAGGTCTCTCTATAGAGAGGAGAACATTGTGTATTCTGAATTAATCTCATAACTGTGCAGTAAGATACCTGTTTTAATGGAAGCAATTCCTCTTGAATGTCTTAGCTTTTGGAAAAGAAGAAGAGAGTCCAACTCAAGGATATGGGGGAGGATTTGGAGTGCCTCTGTCAGATAATGAGGACAGTGGGACCTAGACTAGACCATGCAAAAGCCAAGGTATGTCTTTCAAACTGAAGTATTTAATCTTTTTTGGCTCATATGTAATATATTGCAGTCCCATTTTTATTAGTATTTCAGACTGAATGCTGCTATTATGAAATTTATAACTGGCTGGCTTGGACTGTGTATTCAGGGAGTTCATCTACATCAGGCATGGCAAACAGGCATCAATCAGTTTGTTTGCTGCCTGCCACTACATTTTTATAAAAGAATAAAGTGTGGTTCACTGGCCACATGGAGCACGTGGCTGAGTGCAGATTATGGCCAGCCAGCCTCTCTGTGCGTGGCGCCCCAGCAACTACTCTTGGCTGGCCTGCTGCTCTACGCGTGGCACTCCAGCATGTGCTCACGGACAGCCGGCCACTCTGGTCACGCGCCCCACACCAGCAGGAAGAAGTATACTGGTGGCGGCCGCTCCAGGACCCGGGCATTGGGTTGGGGGAAGAGGGGAGCTGGGAGTGCCTGGTTCTAGGGGAGGGGTGAGGCATTAGGTTGGGGCTGGGCTGGGAATGCCTGACTCTGGGGGAGCAAAGGGGGACATTTTGCTAATATTGTTTGTTCCCAAATAAAATCACAATGTATTTATTTTATATCAATAAATGTCCTTTTTTTGCAATTGCACGAATAATTGTTTATGCAAAATCTCAAATTTTCAAAGAAGCCTGTTCTGTTTGTTTGTTCACTGTCTATACTTGTTTTTATTTCAACAAGTTATGTATCATAAATTAAAAAGTACCTTAAATTTATATTTAAATTAAAATATATAAGCAAATAACGACTTTACACATCAAATTATTTTATTATAGTGATACAAGACCTGATAAATATTTAAAAAAACCTAAAATGTAAATCTAGAATAAACAATTACAACTTTCTACAGTAAACTTCCAATAATCCGGCACCTTTAGGACCCATGGGGTGCCGGATTATCAGATATGCTGGACTATCGGGGGGGCTGGGGAGGTGTCTGGAGTGGGGTGGGAGGGGATGCCACCCCAGACCCCTCATAACCCCCCCTTACAATAGTCCGGCTTTGCCCCAGGCATCCCTGCTT